TGTTGTGACCCAGCAGTAGCCGTTGGAGCTGCCACCAGACTCCGACAGCGAGGGGCCCTATGAGTTGCCTATGGAATATGTGGAGGACCTTGGACAGAGTTCCAACTCCGAGCAGGGTGCAGAGAGGCTGGTTGGCCATTAGGAGTCACCAGAGCCTTGGACCAGTAGGGAGGAGACAAGGGAGTGTGATCCGGATGTCATGCATTGGAGCAGTGGGGAGGAGCCAAGGGAGTTGTTCCTGGATGCCCAGCAACGGAGAGCTAATAGGCGTAAGGAACAGTTACACAGTTGCAGGAGATAATTGCACTCAGCTGGTGGTAATTAGGCTCCTCTCAAGACTATAAAAGGAATGATTGTGCACACGCCCGTTGCAGGAGTCAACGTATTCACTAGAGCTGGAGAACTCTTGTGGCTAGCTTGGCAGGCTGGATTGCTGCCAAGGTTAGTCTGTGCTGGATTGCTGCCAAGGTCTGGTCTGTGCTGGATTGCTGCCAAGGTCTTGTCTGTGTGTTAATAAATCCTTGAACTATCTTTGTCTCGGCGTGCTTTGGTGGAGGACGGGGGGGGGGGGGTGTGTCAGAACAGGAAAGTCTGTTCATAAACAACAACAAAAATGCCTAGAACTTCCATCTCAGTATGTGGATTGAGGAACGCATGGAAATTACTATTGTTGAACTAAGGAGATGTCCGTAGGGTGGCATACAGAACCGCAAGTTTTGTCCTTTTCTTCCTAAATATACGCTAAATCACAAATTGTAGAAGTAATCGACATGGATTTAACAGGATGAAGCTGAGAAGTGAGTTTTCTATGACAGGTAAGATCAAACATGATGATAGATGGAAAAGCTTTAGCAATAAAGAAGGCCAGGAGTTCACAAACTCTCCAAAACTGTCTCGAGCAAGTTAACCTGATCCATCACATCGGTGGAAGCCCAGGAGCATTTTTGCCATTCTTCCTGCTCAAGTCCACAATAGGCAGTTCCAATACTACAAACTTTATGGATCCCCGTGATCTACAGATTGTTAAAAGCAGTAAATTTATTTCTTATACAAACTTCATAGGAATCGAAACAACGAAATTAATTTCGCTGGGGTGGAGGGGAATGAGAAATATTACGCAAATTAATTAACGTAGGCTTGGTTGATTCTAAACGGCGCAAAGCCGTTTCTGCAAAACTCATTGCCCAATGTAGGCTATCTAGAAGATTTGTGGTTATTTAAATTATTTGATATTTTGGATTAAAACTTAATTAAAACTACTACCATCTAATCATTAGATTAAATGTTTTATGTTGGAATATTATCTAGATGAAAGGGTTATAATAAACATTGTACTTGCATGTCACGTGTACGTCATAAGCTTTTTATTCAAAAATAGTTAAAGAAACCACATTCCTCGTTAAGCTCTTAATTACATTCCTGACATACCTTTTAGCAGCCTGGACTTGTTCAATGACCTTGTTATAATGTATGATACCAGTTGACCTCCCGTGTTTCTAAATAGGATCTTAATAAATCCTTTATAAATGCGTATAATTACAATTACTTATTTGTACCACCCTAGCATTATATATATGTACTTCTCCACTTGCAAAAAACCCCACACCCAATAACCTCACAACATAGTTATACTTTCTATATAAAGAACTCTTTACAACACAGAACACAAATAGGAATTATAGGAGTATATTCTACGTTTCAAATAGAAAATGTTCCCTGAATTTTAAAAATCATCAGAAAACCATGGTTGATATATGTTTCTTCTGTCCGATGGTGGAGCTAAGATTTGTGTTACTAGTGAGTTCATGTTGGCGCACTTGAAAGGTATTTCTGCAAGTAATTGTATGTATTTTACAGTACAGGAATGGACAGAAGCACAAACAATTCGTGTGTTAGAGGAAATCCTAATTATGGTACTTAATGGGAAAATATGTTTCTCCTCCAATTTCTCAGTTAATTTTGTGGTTTTAGCTGTCAACGTGACAAGTTTTGAAATGTACAATGACATGCCCATTTTTAGTCAGCACTGACAAAACATTTGATAATAAAAATCACCCAATGCCCCAAATCAAGAAACGTACATCTGTAGTCCCCATTCACCTTTATTATATTAAATAAATTAATGCAATAAATACAAATATACTTTAATTCATAAAAATCATAAATAAGTTATTATAGTACCACGAAGAGCCTCAATTCACACCACCTGTATTTACAGTTATACAGAATTATTAAAAAGTCAAGATTTCTTTCTTTCCAGCAGTTAATTACTAATACATAAAGTGCTAAGTTCTTACTGGCTGAAACAGTTGATACAGTTTTGATTAAAACGGAATCATTATTTAAGAGTTGTTGCCAGATATCTGCCCAAGACAGGCATTTCTGAACCACGTCCATGGTCAATGGTCAAGTTCAGCGCAAAGGAATCTTTCCCTTTTTATCAGTTATTTTCTTGGAACATATTCTAATATTTAAGGGCAATTTGTACCATACCTTTTATGCAAAATCAAACTACTAAAAAACTCATTCGTATAGTATTATCACCACTTAACGTACCCAAAACACCCAATATAAAAATATGCTATCAAAAGTGCAGTAGAAATGGTAACATTTCATCCTAGGTAAAGGTTCCCCTCACACATATGTGCTGGTCATTCCTAACTCTAGGGGGCGGTGCTCATCTCTGTGTCAAAGCCGAAGAGCCAGAGATGTCTGAAGACTTTTTCGTGGGCATGACTAAATGCCGAAGGCGCACGGAACGCTGTTACCTTCCCACCAAAGGTGGTTCCTATTTTTCTACTTGCATTTTTTTATGTGCTTTCGAACTGCTAGGTTGGCAGAAGCTGGGACAAGTAACGGGAGCTCGCTCCGTTACGCAGTGCTAGGGAGTCGAACCGCTGAACTGCTGACCTTTCTGATCAACAAGCTCAGCGTCTTAGCCACTGAGCCACCGCGTCCCTAACATTTCATCATCATATGTCAGTTAATATATTTCAAACAGTTCTCGTCGTCTTAACAGTGAAGTTAAAACAGGAGTTTAAAATAGTGTTTTAAAACCAGATGTTTCACAGAAACCATAAACGTCTGTACAACGACGAGTCAGTTATTATTGTTTCCAGAGAATTTTCCCTCCTCCACCATGGCATCATTGCAACATTAACGCATATCGAGCCTTTTGCTCAATCAGGGCATGTCATTGTCCTTACAAATTTGAGGCATATATTCTTTTTCTGATGATCTGCGCTTTGCTTTTTTGCACTTGTATATCACCACGGATGAAACAATAATCAGAATGAGGACTCCGACAGCAGCAGCTACTATTATGACGATTTTGTCCCAATCAAGAGCTAGAAAGAAGACAGTTGAATTAGATGCACGCTTTTTATTTATCTCAACTTTGCCCTGACTGCAGCTATTCCACATTAATGAGGCATTAAATGGTGTAATAAACCCAAAGCATCCCCTTCCAACTAGGACAGTGGTTCCCAAACTTGGC